TTTGCATGATATATCTTTTTCTATCTCTTCACTCTCATCCTGTGTGTGTCTTTTGTTCTGAAGTGGGTCTCTTGTAGACAGCATATAGTTGGGTCATGTTTTGATGGGCACATTTAATACATTTTCATTTAAGATTATTATCGATAGGTGCTTATTTATGCCATTCTACTTCTGTATGCTTAGCCTTCTCTACTTCTTCTCATTACAGTAGTCCTTTTAGCATTTCTTTCTTTTTTTACAGAGAGGAAGGGAGAGGGATAGTTAGAAACATCGATGCAAGATAAACACCGATCAGCTGCCTCCTGCACATCTCCTACTGGGGATGTGCCCGCAACCAAGGTACATGCCCTTGATCGGAATCGAAACTGGGACCCTTCAGTCCACAGGCCGACGCTCTATCCACTGAGCCAAACCAGTTAGGGGTTAGCATTTCTTTTAATGCTGGCTTGGTGGTGATGAACTCCTTTAGCCTTTTTTTTTTGTCTGGGAAGCTTTTTTTTGACTATTTTGAATGATAGCCTTGCTGGATAGAGTAATCTTGGTCTCAGATCCTTGCTTTCTGTTGCTTTGAGTACTTCATGACATTCCCTTCTGACCTATAGAGTTTCCGATGAGTACCTGGGTGTCTGCCTTATGGGAACTCCTTTGTAGGTAACAGTTTGCTTTTCTCTTGCTGCCTTTAAGATTCTCTCTTTATCTTTAATTTTTGGCATTTTAATTATGATGTAACTTTTTGAGTTATTCTTATTTGGGACTCTCTGTGCCTCCTGAACTTGTGTGACTTTTTCCTTTACCAGGTTAGAAAAGTTTTCTAACGCCTTCTTCAAACACCTTCTCTATCCTTCTCCCTTTCTGCCTCTTCTGGCACACCTGCTATTCTAATATTGTTGTTTCATGTTGTCCCACAGCTTCCTTAAGCTGTCCTCCTGTTTTTTGATTGTTTCTTCTTTTTGGTTCTCTGATTGAGTGATTTTTTTCAACCCTGTCTTCTAATTGTCTGATTCAATCCTCAGCTTCTCCTAATCTGCTGTGTATTCCTTCCAATGTGTTCTTTATTTGTGCTTTGTCATTCTTTGTGTTTCAATAGTCACTATATCTTTCCTCATGCTTTTAAGCATCTTTACCATCATTATCTTGAACTTTATATCAGATAAATTTCTTATCTCCATTCTTTTGTCTCTTCTTTTGGAGACTTCGCTTGTTCTTTCATTTGGGGATTGTTACTTTGTCTCTTCATTTTGGCTGCCTGTTTGGGTTGATGACTGTATTAGGTAGATCTGCTACGCCTCTCAATCTCTAGTGCAGGATGGTGTCAAGCTGTTTCTGACTAATTATCTTAGGCAAAGACTCGAAGTCTCCAGAGACCACCTCTGTCTACAGACTGATAGGATTCGGTCTTGAGTTGCCCTCAGGCAATTGTCCACAGGTGTGGCAAGAGTTTTTTTCTATAGGATGGTGCACTGGCTTCTGCTTGGAGGCTAATTGTTATTCTTCGTCTCTTAATGGGTTTTCCAATATGGTGGGTCAACTGTCTTCCCCCCAGTCAAGGCCACCTGTATAGCAAATGTCTGCATGAGAAAGATCACCCCCGCACAGTGAGGAATGACTCAGCAAGGTTATCTGGGGTGTCTGCCTTCTGAGCTCTAACCCCAGGCCCCAAAGCTGGCTTCTGCTCACACAGATGCAGTCCACTCTGCCGGAGCACAAGGAGTGGCTCCACAGGGAATTTTGTGCATTGGCCCTTTAAGAGCGTGCCTGAATTTCCAGTTATCTCTCCCTGGCAGACAGCAACCCTGCTGCTTCTCCCAGTCAGATGTTATGTGGGTACCCTTCTCAGTTCTGGTGCTTTCTGCGGGGGCCCAGCTTGGGGATTTGACCCCAGAGTTCTCAGTGGCAACCCCCACAGCTGAGATATCTCTCCAGGACTTCAGCTGCTGCCTGTGGGAGCCCGGCCAGCCCTTTAGCGCCTCCGGCCCTTCCAATCAGTCTCTGTGTTGTCTCCACTTTCCGTCCTCTATTAGCAGGGTTTTCTCCAGGGCGTCCTCCATTAATTATTCTTGCAGTTTTCCCATATTTCAGTTGTAATTCCAGTTTGGTCCTGGGAGCATGTCTATACAACATCCACTTACTCCACCGCCATTTAAAATCCGCCTACCTGCCTTCTTTATTCAGACCAAATTTCAGCAACAAATTTGGAAAACAACAAATATGAAACAACCAGGAAACTGTAGCACTGACTGATACTTGAGGAAACTAAGGAATGACTGCTCATTTTTAAGGCACCATCATTACCATGTGGTCATTTTTAAACAGCCTTCTTAAAGAGAGGACTGTAAATATGGTGATGAAGTGCAGTGTCTGGGATGAGTGTAAAAACACAGCAGTGGTCTGCCCTATAAGGAACACTGCCTGGCTGTACGAAGGAATGAAGTACTGCTTGAAGCCACCACATGGGTGGACCTCAAACGTGCTCAGTGAAGAAGCCAGTGTAGAGCATGGACTGCATGCTGCCCTTGGTGTGGTGTCAGAAACGCCAGTTCAGATACATACACAGACGGGGCGGCCTGGGCTGGCATCGAAGTGGTGGCGAGGAGGCTTCTTCTTGGAGTGGTGGAAAGTTCTCAACAAGACAGTGGTGAAGCCCGCACGCAGGAAACACACTACAGACCCACAAGTTGTATACTGAAACCGGTGACTTTTCTGGTACGTAAATCATGTCAATGAAGTGGTTAATAAAGAGGCATCCTATGACGAGCCGTCCGGCAGGAGTTGATATAAGGTGGAAGCAGGTGATGACCCTGGGCCTTCAGTATCCAACTCTTCCTGCTTGTTTGAAGTTGTATATCTGAACATTGTTGACTGCACTCATATCTCAAGGCCTATATCCCGACCGCCCCAAAGAGATCTTTCCAGGGCTCCAGGCCCAGCGGAGAGCCACACGGCCATGGCGTCTTTCACTTGAAGCCTCAGCACCCAAGGGCCTCTCAGACGGCCGGGCCCTGCCCTGACACCTGCTTCCTGCCCCCGACCACACGTCTCCTGAGCTGCTAGTGGACAGGGTATGGGTGAGAGGTTATGGTCTGAAATGGAAGAGAATCTGAGACCCCAGTACAGTGGGGCCTTGACTTGCAAGTTTAATTCGTTCCGAGACCGAGCTCGTTAAGGAGCTCGTTACTCAAATTACTTTATCAACTAAATGCAAAAAATTGGCAGAGAGAAAGCTGGTATCTCAAAAAATTCGTTAGTCGGGACACCCGTAAGTCAAGACCCCACTGTATTCAGACCTTGCCGGAGCCCAACCCTGGCACCCTTCAGCTGCCACTCACCGGTCAGGCCCAGGGTGGATGCGGGGCCAACGCGTCGCCCCCCGTGCAGGCCGTACAGGTGCATCTTGTACTTGCGCCCCGGCTCCAGGCCCCGCACGGTGACCTCGCTCTCCTCGCCCCCGACACGCACCACCTGGGGCCGCCCGTCCCTGTCCTTGTACTGGACGGTGAAGGCGTCGAAGTGGCCCCGGGGGACGGTCCAGGACAGGCTCAGCGAGTCCGGGGAGGATCCCGTCACCGTCAGCTCCCCCAGCAGGGGCTCCTCGGGGGGCTGTGGGGCCTCGGTGCTGGGCTCTGTGGAGCTCGGGGTCTCCTCCACTACCTCCTGGGCGGCTGAGAAAACAGATGGGGGTCAGGCTTTAAGGGCGACGTGCTTTGCTGGTGCT